TGGGGGTCAGCCCAGAGGCAGAGCTCCTATAGAAACCCTCCTCCCCTTTACCTGCTCCTGTACATCTGGTGGCATTGGATACAGGAACCAAAGGCCAGTGGGAGAGGGGGGCTTGGACTAGGTGGCAGCTCCAGGGCTGTGAGGAATCTGAGGATGGCAGGATCTGCAGGTAGGGCAGGRGTCAGTCAGGAGTCCTAGGGCACCTGGAGGGGGAGCCCCACTTGCAGCCCCTGTGAAGGGAGGAAGATGCTCAGAGACATGGATGGAGGCTGTTTACCAGTGGGGGCAGGGAGGGCTGAGGGCACAGCCTCACTGATCCTGGACGATGTGAATTTTGATATTTGCCTGTGTGCGTGTCTCCTGGGTGTAGTGGATGCCAGTCTTGTTGCTGTGACAAGTAACAACCTTTTTTTAAATTCTGTTTTTTATACAAAAATTCACAACAATCCGACATTTTGGTGCTAAGGGTTTCCTGGTGCCGAAGGTGGGGCTGGGCTGGCCCAGGGCTGTGCTGTGGCTCCTCTGCTGCTCAGGGGACAGGGAGGAGGGGTTCCAGCTGGGTTGTCCTACCCTGAAGTAGGGAGACCAGTTCCATGGGGCTTTGGGGATGGGAAAACTGACTGGGCAGGCCTGGCCTGATGTGTTGGGAGGGGTGGAGAGAATAGACTCCCCCAGCCTCACACACCTGGACCTGGTCTGAGGATGGTGGCCTAGGTGGAGATGAGTGTGGGCAAGGGTCAGGGGAGAATCTGGGACTCTGGGGCAGTGTGCTTTCCAGGGCACCGGAGTGCACCCATGGAGGGCCAAGTGCACCTGGTGGAGGAGGCTGGGCTCCAGCAGGGGGTGGCCTCCTGCCCAGCTTCTCAGGTATTTGGCACTTGGGGGGAAGGAGGCCAGGCTCTTTTTTTTGGGGGGGTTGAGTTTCCAGGACACCCCCGAAGTCCACAGGTGGCCCTGGTGTAGAAGTGGGCCTGGGTGACGATGTTTAGCACTTTAACCCCTGTGTCATGAAATGAACAGGGGGCTGCTGCTGGAGTAGCTACTGGTTGGGAGCCTGCCCTCCCTCCTCCTCTCCTTCCCTCTCATCCACCCACACTAACTAGAGAGGGGCAGTGGCAAGCTGGTCTGCAAAGCCTTCCTCCAGAGAGTGTAGGGCCCTGGGCAGGGTGCATCAGGGTCTGCCCACCTCCCACTCTGGCTCACACATGACAAAGTGACCACTGGCCTCCACAGCAGCCTCAGTGGGAGGGATCAGAATGGCAGACCCTAGGGTGTGGTAAGCATGGAGCTTGGTGGACCAAGCCCTGGGTCCTTGGCAAAATGTGAGTTAGGGTCTCTGCAGATCTACCTCTGGTTCAGTGCATGCCCTTTCCTGAGAACAGGAAAATGCCCCAGGAGCTGACACTTCACACAGAAATAGGATGCACTTTACTCAACTCTTTGTAGGCAGACGGGGGTGCATCCTGAGTGGCTAGAGCCTTCCTTTCCCTCTGGTGGTTCAGAGGGAGGCCCTGGAAGGGGAAGGCTTTCCTTGTAAGCCCCTGCCGGCTAGACTCCAGGTAGCTTGCCCTGGAAGTCTAGGGTTCAGGAGGGCCGCGGGTCACCCTTCTGCYTGGTGGCCATGCGTCCTAAACTTCGGGTTTCTTGTTTTGGTTTTTAATGAGGTTCTCAGCACACAAGTGCATTTCGAAAGACAGGTTCCAGCTATCACTTGTAACCATATATATACATATATATATTCTATCTACAAAATGTTTATTTGCAAGATGTTTTGACGGTGAGCTCGGGCCCTGCCCGCCTTGTGACCATCTGTCTCCAACCTCGTCCCCTGGCGAGTGGCGCGGGGAMGCGCCATCAACTGTATGTATTAAAAATGACTGTATCAAATAAATGTTTATTGATTTTTTTCCAGGGCTTTTGTGTGGCTGAGTTTGTGCCGAGACGCGGTCCTCTCCCGTGCGCGCGCGCCCGGAGACGCGCGGCCTTGTGGGGCTCGTAGTCCGCCCTCACTGGCTCCGGGGCGAGCGCTGCCGGCCACCGCCAAGTCTCCGGGCGCCATGGCTGCGCCACCGGCCTCCGCGGACGCCGCCCCCTCGCCCCCGCCGCCTCCTCCGGCCCCGGACGCGCCCGGAGCCTCCGCGGGAGGACAGAGCGAGACCGCGTGCGAGGACCGGTAGGCGCAGGGCCGGGCGGGGGCCGCGCGCCGGCGGAAGGGCAACGGCACGCTGCAGCCCCCCCCCGCCCCGCCAGGCGTCCTCGAGGCCCCGGGCCCAGCCCACCTCGGGCTCAGGTCCGCTGAGTGGGCGCGTGCACCTCCGCCCGACGCGGGCGGCCTCCGGGGGCTGTCCCCATGCCCTCCACGCCCCCGACGGCCTGTCGGCACCTCCTTCCCTGGAGGAGCGGCCGGGTAGTCGGCTGGCGGCCTCAGGGGCAGGAGCGGACGGAGGACAGGAGGGACGCGGGAGATGGGCCTTGGTTTGCACCCGGCGAGGCCTAGGTTCGCGGCGCTCCGGGGCCGTGTGCCCGCGCGACCTTCCGAGTTAGTCACGTTCGGGTTTGGGCTCCGGCCGGCCCTGCAGCCCAGTGGCCCTCGGACTGATTCTGAGGGTGAGGTGCGGTGGTGCATTCCGACCGCCGGGCATGTGTGGGGCCTTCGAGGGGTCCGGGAGCATTAAAGGGGGCGGTGGGCTGCGGGTGAGCCCGTCAGCATCCGGCTGATCGCCCCCGCAGCGCCTCGGGGTCGTGGCCGCCAGGGGGCGGTGGTCGCGCGCGCGACTGCGCGCCTGGCCTCTTCCTGCTCTGATCGCGTCCCTCGGAGTCCCAGAACGTTTTCCGGGTGCGGGCGAGTAGGAGCGTGGAGAACCTGGAGCCAGAGTGTTGGCTCGGGCTCTGGCTAACGAGCAGACCCCTTTCAGAGCGGCCGGTCGTAGGCCCACACCATCCCAGCGGCCAGTGACCGGGAGCTTGCTTGGCTTCGGTCCATCAGGACTTGAATCTGTGACGCTCACTGATTCAGAGGGTCACTGGGTAACCAGGAGCAGAAAGGCCATGCATAGCCAGATAGGCTCCAAGACCACACAGACTGTTCTGGGCACCAGGCCCTCGTGATGTCTCAACACAGACTGTCCCTGTGCGGGTCACTGGCACAGGGCCACAGCAGTGGGGGTCTCTGGCTGACCTGTGCATTTCCTGTCCAGCCAGGGACTTTTCCTTCTGCTCTCCGGGTACGTTTCCCCACGGTCCCTGCACTGGTCCCTATGTCTATTTAACCCATCCTCTCTGTCTTCAGTGCCTGCTGTCCGTGCTGGTGCAGGGACTGTCCTTAGGGGCTACCTGAGCGATGGATACCAGCTGGTTGTGGGCAGTGGAGGGATGCTGATTGCATCTGCTTAGAACAGCAAGAAAGCAGGGTCTGCTGGAAAGGGTTTCAGGGTAGGAGATGAAAGCCTGGGTCCTCCCCCCACCCCAGACCCTGAGGGGTAGGTCCTCCCGACTGCTTCCAGCTGCCCCTCATTCCTGCTGTGTACTGAGGAATGAACTGTATCATCAGACCTTCTTATTTTTTTGAGACAGATTCTCACTCAAATGCCCGCACTGTCCCAGGAGAAACCTGTGATCCATCCTCTGCCTCAGCCTCCTGAATAGCTGGGATTAYGGGCATTAGCCCACCACTCCGGCTTTGGATGTTGGCTGGGGATGCTCAGTATGGTGCAGTCTTGCTCTCTAGTCTCTGCACATGTCTGTTTATCTCCATGTGCCGTCACTTGTGGGGTCGTTATTGTGGATGAGGTACCTGCTTTGGTCTCAGGAATCCCAGAGCATAACTGCTGCCATCCTGGAGGAGATCACTGAGGCCTGCCCCTTCCTGGTGGGGGTGAAGGGGTCTAAGCCATGCCCCACTGTGCCGTGACCTAAAGTGGACCCTCTCCCAGAGTGGTGAGGGGTGCTCTGAGGTGACTGGACACCCTTCAGCACCCCCTGATACTGGAAACAGGAGGAAACTGGGCAGAAGGTACTTGGCCAACTGGGCTCCAGATGTGGCTACTGATCAACAGCATTAGTGCCCCTGTTGGTGGTGCTGGGAATGGGTGTTCTCTAGTCCATTCTAGCCCTGGGGAGACAGTTTGGGAGTGGGGTTCCAGCACCCTAAGCTGGAGCAAAGGCAGAGGCTGCTGGGAGTCGAGGTTGGTGAGCCAGAGTGAAGGCTGCCTATTCTGTCAATAGCAGCACATCTAGGCTCTGGCCTCCCTTTCCTARGTCAACAGTACCGGCTTCCCATGAGTTTGTCGCCCATGGGTCTTGCTCAGCTAGGGCACCCAGGAACATCCAGGCTGACCAGCCTGGGTCCCCCTGTTGCTTAGATATCCAAGCGAGATAATGATCCCCAGGAGTCCCACTCTGCATGGCCCAAGACAGCCGAGGCTCCCTGAGCGAGGCCGGGTGCAGACAGCCTGCCACCTGGGAGTGTCATTAGAAGGGGCAAGCTCTGAGGACACACCGGWCGCTGTTCCTTCTCCAGTTGCCTCTGGAGGGGTGGGTTATCTGGGTGGCCAGGAGGGATTGGCACATGTAACCACCCACCGGGAGAGCTGGGCAGCCAGAACCTCTCTGAACAGACCCCTTGAGCCAGTAAGAGATTTCTACTGTCCATGCTTGCTGAGGGTGGGGCCAGGCCTTCCTCTTCTCTGCTGTTGTGGACAGGAGGTGACTATGTCCCCTGATGAGCCTTGAGTGGCCCAGGGACTTTCTGGGACCTCTGTGAGGTGGGGGGTGGGGCTGTTATTCTTAGATCCGGCTAAAGGGTAGGGTTTCRTATCTGTTTATGCTCATAGGAGGTACCTTGGGGCCAAGGGTGGGGTGCCCAGCTCAGCACTGACATTGAGGTCAGCTGGCCAGGAGGGGTCTCAAATTTCCCTGTCCTGCTGTGTGTGGGGGTGGGGCCAGGGTACTGAGCACAGTGATTCTCAGCAAGCCTCGGCTGGTGAGTGGGCTAGCTTGTGCTCAGAAGGGCAGCTCACACCCACAGCTGGCCTGGATCTTGCAGGCCACACTAGGCAAAGCTGTGCTATTAATATCTGGCACACAATCCCTAGCTGGGTGATCCTCTTATGACTGTGGCCTTGGCCTCAGAGGCCAGTGGCAAGTGTGTTCCCTCAGTATAGAGGGGCTCCTGGGGCCCCCAGTGCTGTGCACCTCCCCCTGCATACAGCAGCTCCACTGCCAGCCAGGGGCCCAGCCCCACCCAGGTCTTTATCTGCTGTGCTGCTCGCAGGAGTGGTTCCACTCACAGAGGGCCAGTGCAGGCGRCCAGAGAGCCAGAGCTGTTCTGGGCACCACTGTGGTGCTGAGGTGGTGATGCCTCCCTAACTGCCAGCACCTAAGCCATACACACACCGGGAGCACACCCTCTGGGACCTGGTCGGCCATGAGCAGTCCCCCAGCTTACCCTGGCATCAGGATCTCAGGGTGCTGGGCAGAAGGCAGGTGAGTTGCAGAAGAATCCCTGCTGGTGAGGAGTACCCAGCTTCACAGTGGTGCTGATCACTCCAGACTCCTGTGCAGTGCATCCCTGAGTAGCGGGCAGCGGGCAGGCTGGCAGGCACTCTGGGGAGCTGGGCCAGGCTCAGGCCACAGGGAGTTTCACTTGGGGCTGTGGGTTGTGTGTGTCTCCTCTGGGTCGTGGCTCAGTCCTTTGGGTTGAGAATAATTTTCCTTGTTGTGGCCAGAAGTACCCTTATCCATCTGTGGATAGGAAATAGGTGTTTTGTGCAAATTTCTCTTTTCAGGGTTACACGTTTTGAGAAATGGGTGAATTTTTGCTGCTGGCTCTGGGACAGAGATTAGCTCTGGGAGGGCCGAGGCTTGGTGCAGATAGCCTTGTGGCCTTTGTCGCCAGTGAGGCAGGTGCATTTCTGGCAAAGTCCCCCCTRGCCTCCTTGCAACTAGGCACTCCGCCCAACAGAAGGGTCTGCAACAGGCTCAGCAGTGATAGCCTTGGAAAGGATTTGTGGTGGTGGTGGTGGTCACTTCAGTGGGGTGAGGAAGTCACTGATAGGAGGACCAAAAGGTCTCCAGGAAGGCCTGCATATTGAGATCCCGCAGAGCCTCAAGCACTGGCTGCCTTTGCTCAGTATCTATGGGAGTTGGTCCTAGCTTTGTGCATGGGCATGCTCGCTGCTGGAATCCAGGGCATGGCTGTGGGGCAGCCCTGGGAGATTCCTGCAGGAGGCCCTACCTCTCACAAATTGCATTTTCTGTTAAAGAGTTTCAGTGGAGGTTGAAGGCACAGGGCGATTCCTTTGGAGTGTGATGTGGGCAGCCCCAGGGGTGAGCTTCACAAACCTATTTGTTTACTGTTGGATTAGTGTGCCCAGGTGAGCAAACTGCTGTCTGCCCTCTGTCCAGGGATCTTAGGATGTCACTACAAGTCCTGTCTCCCTTTAAGCCAAGAGCTCTTTGGCAAGCCTGACTGGGGGTGCAGACAGCAGCCCCAGGGCACATCATGTCCTAGGCTGTGCCCCCCACATGTGTCCCACAGCAATGCTGTGGGCACCTGCTCCCATGCCAGTGCATGGTAGAGCAGCACTGTCCCTAGGACCTCTCACCTAGTCACTGTGGTACCTGGCTGTGTTGTTTGTGCTAAGCCTCAGAGCTGTCTCCAGAGCTGCAGGAGCAAGGCTGAGCACCTCTGCCTGGCTAATTATTCCCTGGGCTCACTCCTAACAATGGTGGTGTAGAAACAGGTGGCCCTGTCTGTCCCCAAGGACAAGCCCAGCGCTCTCCTTGTCAAACACAGATAGGAAGCTCTCTTGCTGCTAGAGCTGCCGTAGGACCTGTTAGGGATTAGGCTTTGGCTCCTTTCTTCCGTGGCCTCCACGCCTGTGCACACCAATGCCCCTGCCCAGCTTGGGTCATTGCTGGTGCTCTGAGAGGTGCACTACCACCGAGGTGTGCCCTAGCCCTTTCTGTTTGGGGTCTCACTAAGTTGCCCAGGCAGGCCGGGACCTTACAATCCCCCTGCCTCGACCTCCGGGACCACTGGAATGACAGGCCTGTGCCACTGTGCCCTGCTCATGGTTTAGATTTTGATAGCATGGCACATGTGCTTATAAAACATTCAAGAAGAACAGGCAGAAGTCCCTGTTCCAGATTTTGGTACCCAGATGGATCCTGGTTGAAATTGGCATGTCTGACATGTAAGCCTTTTGCTCACAGATTCCTCACGTGGGTGGGCTGTGACATGCTAGGCCAAGCCACTAACCCCTCTTGGACAGCCTGAGAGATGGTGCTAGGGCCCCTCTGACCACTTGGTCTCCCCATTCAGGCAGTGGCCAGGAGGGCCTTCACAGCCTGTGTCTTGTCCCCCATGCCCAGCATCTTCACACCAGGCTCTGCTTCTCAGGACAAACTGAGCAGTGTCACCGGCCATGCATTCACAGGGAGCCTCCACAGAAGGGGTCTCCGGGTTGAGGCCACAGCCAGAAACAGCACCCCTTTTGGGATACAGGCCAAAGGTGCAGGTGGCAGGGATCTGAGAGCTGGCCTRGCATGCATGATGTGGCACGGACACAAGCACAGGTCTGAGCCTTTTTCGGGTTAGATTTCCACCTGGTAGTCTCTGTGGGCCTCCTGTTTTACACACATGGCTCATGGGGTAAGCCCACGTAGGTGGCCTTTGCTGGATTCTGGAAGTTTCTGTCTTAAGGACCCAGGAGGGATCACAGAACAAGTTGGTTCCCTAGGCCTCCTAGCTGGGAATCTCCCCTCTCGGTGTCCATCCTGCACTCTGACAGTCAGAGAGGCCAGGCCAGGGTGCCACTCTGCCCAGAGCCCTGTGTCTGTCTTTACCTCTGCCCAGGCTCTACCCTCCTCTGCAAGGAGAYGGTGACTGGGCTGCCCAGAGAGAGCACTGGGCTGGGGAGGGGGGCATGGTCCTCAGGGGGTTCTTGCTTGTCCACAAGTACCTACCTTGCATCACCTGAGGAAGGGCCCTGCCTGGCCCAGTCCACACAGRGGAGGAGCGCAACCTGAGATGGGGACCCTCCTCTCTCCTTATCACTGCAACGTCCCTCTGTTCTTGTTGTGTGAACCAAGGTCCCATGCCCCTAAGAGCTCTGTGGCCCACTGTAGGTGGGCTTCTTGGACAGTACCCAGTCCAGGCTTGACCTGGGTTGCGCCTACAGGAGCCCCCTTGGGTGTGACCAGGCACCAAGGAGACCAGCAGCCCCAGGTCAAGGCTAAACCACATTGTCTTTATAGCAGCAATGCAGGGTCCCTGGACAGGCTCCTCCCCGCCGTGGGCACCGGGCGCTCACCCCGGAAGCGCACCACCAGCCAGTGCAAGTCGGAGCCACCCCTGCTGCGCACCAGCAAGCGCACCATCTACACGGCAGGGCGGCCACCCTGGTACAATGAGCATGGCACGCAGTCCAAGGAGGCCTTTGCCATCGGTAAGAGTGGTGTGGRCAGCCCCTCAGGACCACCTGTGGGGTCAGCCAGATGCCCTGAGCCCTGCTCTCCGCTCCCCTGGCAGGCCTGGGAGGTGGCAGTGCCTCAGGGAAGACCACCGTGGCCAGGATGATCATTGAGGCTCTAGATGTGCCCTGGGTGGTCTTGCTGTCCATGGACTCCTTCTACAAGGTGAGGCCCTGCTCAGCTCCTGGAGTGCCCTTCTCCCTCTGCCCCCTCCCCTGCAAATGCAGGCCTTTGGTCCCTGGGCCCCAGCATGCTGTCCCCTGGGGCTGTGGGCAGGGGTCTTCTGTGGCCTCCTTGACAGGTGCTGACCCAGCAGCAGCAGGAGCAGGCCGCCCACAACGACTTCAACTTTGACCACCCCGACGCCTTCGACTTTGACCTCATCATCTCCACCCTCAAGAAGCTGAAGCAGGGCAGGAGCGTCCAAGTGCCCATCTATGACTTCACCACCCACAGCCGGAAGAAGGACTGGGTAGGTAGGGGCTCAGGACTGCAGATGGGCTGCAGAGGCAGAAGCTGGCTTGAAACTCCCTGGTTCCTTTGCAGAAAACACTCTATGGTGCAAATGTCATCATCTTCGAGGGTATCATGGCCTTCGCTGACAAGACGCTGCTGGAGGTGAGGCATCCCTGTGCCGCAGATGCATCCTCCAGCCAAGCCCTGCCCTGTCCCCAGGTCTCCCCTGCTGAAAGGAGAGGCTTGGGTGCCCCCAACATGGTACAGTTTGCTCTCTCCCACTGGTTAGCGTGGGTGTGGCTGCTGGGGACAGTGCTCCCTCCCCAACCTGCCAACCCTCAGCTGTGCATTGGCTTCCTCATTCCTTGCTGGAGGTGGGGACCTAAGGCAGTCAGTCTGAGGGACTTTGCTGCAGGCCCAGAGGACTTGCTCCCACCAACCCCTAGCCCTCACACAGCTCCTTCAGGGTCCACACCAGAACCCATCAGGCCCTCATCCCCCTATCATGTAGATGTCATACTGCCCAGCCCAGCTCCTGCCCACTTCACACACTCCCTGAGCACACGCTCCTGCCACACTCCTCGCCAGGCTCAGGAGATGCCTATGGGGCTGGCCCTGGACCTGACCCACATCCTAGGAGGCCTTGTGCAGGAGCTGCTCCGTGGGGCCATGTGACCCTGCTGATCACAGAGCTCAGTCAGCTGGCCATCCCTGTCTAGCTCCTGGACATGAGAATCTTTGTGGACACGGACTCCGACATCCGCTTAGTGCGGCGGCTGCGCCGGGACATCAGTGAACGAGGCCGGGACATCGAGGGTGTCATCAAGCAGTACCACAAGTTTGTCAAGCCTGCCTTTGACCAATACATCCAGCCCACCATGCGCCTGGCGGACATTGTGGTGCCCAGAGGTGAGCCTGCCAGGATGCTGGCACATGCATGGTGGTGCCCAGAGGTGGGCCTGCCAGGACACTGGCACGTGAGCCTGCCTGAGCCACCCTCCTTTGCCACAGGGAGTGGGAACGCGGTGGCCATTGACCTGATCGTGCAGCATGTGCACAGCCAGCTGGAGGAGGTGAGTCTCAGGTAGTGTCCCTGCTTCTGCTTGCCCACCCTCTCATGTCCACTTGAGTGTCCCCAGCTTGCTTCATCTGCCTGTTCACACAGCCCCAGCCCCAGCCCTTTGCTCTGGGAGTGGGCACAGGAACTCAGGGCCCAGCTGCCACATGCTCCCAGCCGGACRTGGGCCTGGCATGGAAGGGCTCCTGTCCCTCCTAACCCTGCAGGATGGCAAAGGAGACCCACTATCTTGCTGGCCTAAGGCCACAGGGTTTCAGCACTGAGTCCCATGTCTGGCCAGTAGCTCTTCTCCTTCATGGTAGCTTACCCTGGGAGTGATGTCCTCACCAGAAGTCCCTTGTTGGAGCATTCTATGGCTGGGTCCCACAGGCTGTCAGAGGCCTGTGGCCTGCGGGACGGAGCCCAGGGCTCCTGGCTTTAACTGCCCAGCCCGGAACCACAGGTCTCACCCAAGTGTTCCCCAGGTTAGAAGAATTAGCAGCTCACCTCCAAAACCTGGCAGCTTCTGAGCAGTCTCCCCATGGGGCTGCAGCATGTCCTGTCCTGGGTGGGGTGGTCTGGCACCTGCCCTGGTCACTGATGCGTCACCGTTCCCTTGTGTCTCCTTGTGTTGCTGCCACAGCGTGAACTCAGCGTCAGGTAAGACCCCATAGCTGTCTGCACACATGGAGGCATTTCCAACATCCACAGGGTGCTCCAGGTCTGGGCTGTTACCAAGCCAGACCAGTGGGCAGCCCCTCCCCATGCAGAGGAGTGGATTAGCCCCAGCCCTGCTTCTGCTTCCCATTGCTGGCAGATAAGGACACTGAGACACAGAGAGGTTAAGTAACTTGCCCAAGATCACATAGCACCTAGGCTGAACAGAAATTGTGGAGAATTCTCTGCAAGTGGGGTTGTCTGTGGGGTTCAGCCCCAGAGAGCACAGCTGTTCTCCTGACCTAGCCCTGCCAGGTCTCCAGGAATGTGGCCATGATGTGTTCCCAGCAGCCTGGGGTCTGGGTCTGCCTCCAGGGCTACTGTACCTCCTCTGCCCAATCTCATGGCCTAGGGGATTCTCGCTGGGGTGGTGTGAGGGCTCGGCCCTGCCCTCCCCGCCTCCCTGCCTGGGCCCTGCTCTGCCGTATAGCTGCCCTGCAGCACACCTGTGGTGGGCTAAGGCTGTGTCCCCGCCCTGTCTACCCAGTGGGCAGGCAGACACCAGCCCTGCCCCTGACGTGTCGCCACSAGGGACCTGCCCTCCTCCCGGGCTTTCTTTGGAGGTGGGGAGCTCTGGCCGCGCCACCTGGGAGCCGCAGTCAGAGCGTTGGAAATGCCTCTGGGCCCACCCTGTGCCGCTTCCTTTCCCTGCACGAGTCTCCGCTTGGTCTCCAGATGGGTGCTGCAGGCCTTCCCTCAGGTCCCTCTAGGAGCCTTTATTCTGAGGAAAAAGAGTTTCCAGGTGTGGCCAGCTCCATTTTCCGCTCTCTGGTCTGCCAAGGAAGTGGTGGCCAGTGGCCTCAGTGTCTCCTCCTGTCCAGGAAGCGGCTGGTGGGCAGGGGAAGGGCCCTCCCACCCAGAGGGGGGGTGCTACAGCCCTGCTGGGCCTCCTCTTCCCTCTGGCCAGCTGGTGGCCGTGCTGTACCATCTGCAGAGATGCCACTGCCCTCCCAACTAAGAGCCTTCTCTCTTCTCTCCTCTGTGTACCCGTCTCCTGCCTTGTCCCTCCCTGAACACTCTTCACTGGCGAGCAGAGGGAGCTGCGCTGGGATATGTGAGCAGAGTGCTCGGTTGTGCTCGCTGTGTGCTGCCCCGCTGCCCGCTCGCCTGCCCGCAGGACCCCCACCGCACCCGCCCCAGCTGCCTCCTCCAGGCCCGCGCCCTGAGCCCCCCATCCCTTCCTCCTCCCCAGACTCCTCCCTTCTATCCTGCCTTTGTCCCCCACACCCACAGTGTCACCTTCCCCTGCCCGCCCACTCCTCCCTCCCACTTCCTGCCACCAGCACCCCTCCTCCTGTTCTACCGGCCCCACCTCTCCCAGTGCCCCTCTGGTACCCCGTCCTTCCCTCCCCCTTCTGCCTCTCTCATGCCCCCCCCCCCAGGCATGGCCTCAGGTGGGGCAGGCGGCAGCACTGGGCAGCACTGGGCAACACTTGGGGATGGGCCTGGGCAGGGTTTGACCCCTCAGCCCGGTCACTACTCCAGGCAGAGCTGCCCGTTCTGGGGGCTGAGCCCTACCTGCAGGTGAGCCCCATCCCAGCAGCCCTTCTGTTCCCTCCAAGCCTAGGAGGGCGCCTCACATCGGCCCTGCGCTTCCTCCGCAGACCAGACGCTGCGTCTCTGCTCCCTCTCCAGGAGCGGCACCTCCTGTGGAGTTGGGGTGGGAGGTCCCCCCAACAGCCATAGCCAGCGGCCTGCTCTCACCCTGCTTTACCCCCATGGTGACGCACAGCCGTCCTGTGGGGAGAGGGCGCTCTAGAATGAGATGCCTTCAGTCTTGAGTGTCCCCAATCTGTTTGTGTCCCCAGGGCGGCCCTGGCCTCAGCGCACCAGAGCCACCCACTTCCCCAAACGCTGAGCGTCCTTAAGAGCACCCCGCAAGTGCGCGGTATGCACACCATCATCAGGTGAGGGCCGGCTGGAGGGGCAGGGTGGGACAGAGGTGGGCGGGACCCCTAAGCCCCCCTAAGCACASCCACCCACCCGACAGGGACAGGGAGACTAGTCGGGACGAGTTCATCTTCTACTCCAAGCGACTGATGCGGCTGCTCATCGAGCATGCGCTTTCCTTCCTGCCCTTCCAGGTAGGCAGGGGTCCAGTTGGGGGCGAGGGGGGGGCCTCTGAGGGCCACGTCCAGACACACCCCCTCTGCACAGGACTGTGTGGTGCAGACCCCACAGGGGCAGGACTACGCAGGCAAGTGCTATGCTGGAAAGCAGGTATGTGCACCCTGGGAGGGCGATACCTGGGCTGGGCTGGGCGTCCCATTGGCTCAGCCCTCCCTCCCTAGATCACTGGGGTATCCATCCTGCGTGCTGGGGAGACCATGGAGCCTGCTCTGCGCGCTGTGTGCAAAGACGTGCGCATCGGCACCATCCTCATCCAGACCAACCAGCTCACGGGGGAGCCCGAGGTGCGGGACTGGGGGGCATGGGGGTTACAGGGTGGCCAGCCCAGGGAGAGGCCACACGGCACCCCAGAGCCTGGTGGGCAGGCACCGCTGACCTCATGGCCTCCCACAGCTCCACTATCTTCGGCTGCCCAAGGACATCAGTGACGACCACGTGATCCTGATGGACTGTACGGTGTCTACTGGCGCAGCGGCCATGATGGCCGTCCGTGTCCTCCTGGTATGTGGGTCCTGAATGGGCTGCAGGCAGGCCCTGTGCAGTTGGTGTTTACCTGGCCCTTGGCTTGGCAGGACCACGATGTGCCCGAGGACAAGATCTTCTTGCTGTCACTGCTGATGGCAGAGATGGGTGTCCACTCCGTGGCCTATGCTTTCCCACGGGTGAGAATCATCACCACAGCTGTGGACAAGCGGGTCAATGACCTTTTCCGCATCATCCCAGGCATAGGTGAGCCKCCAGCCTGTTCAGTGGTGTGTGTGAGCAAGGCTGGTCTCCCCAGGAGGCTCCATGCTGGGCTGCTTCTTTCTCCAGGGAACTTTGGGGATCGCTACTTTGGGACAGACGCAGTCCCTGATGGCAGCGACGAGGAAGAGGTGGCTTCCACCGGTTAGCTGCCCTGGCTGCCCCACCCTGTCCCCACCCAACCTCCTCCTGCCTCCTGGTGTGGGTAGGAGGAGGTTAATTTAATTTCAAAAAATGATACCAATAAAAACCATCTACACATTTTGTAAAATAAAGCTTTAGAAAATGAAGGTGTGACTGGTTAGCTGGGGTACAGGGGAGGTATCCTGGCTGGGACCTGGGCTTGGGCAGTCTCTCTCAGGGCTGTAGGTGTTGCCCACCCCAGCACCCAAGTTATAAAGCCACCACCGATAAGTCCAGGCCCCTGGCTTCTCCAGAGCAGGACAAGGCGGGCTCCCAGCCTGGCACCCGGCCTCCCTTGTAGTTGGGGCTCATTTCCTGAGGGAGAGAAGGGCAGCACTGGGACTGCAGCTTCTGGCCGTGCTAGATAGGGCCCCTAGAGCCACAGCTTAGTGGCTACCTGGCCTGGACCCAGGGAGAGGACAGGGCTGCCTGGGGCTCTGTGTGTCACAGGACGCAGCCTCTGTGACCACTTCCCCCCAGCCATGTTTGAACCATCAAGGGGCCCAGCGGAAGTCAGTGCGTGGGCGTCTGTGGGAAGGACTACACTGGAAGAAGCCCCGGCTGCAAGCAGATGGCCGAGGCCCAGTGGGCCAGCCATGCTGTTCGGGACCGGATGCATGTCCACCCTGTCTTTGCTGCTCCTAGACTAGAGAGTGAGGGTCAGCTCACTGGTCACTTCCAGACATCCTCTCTGTGCCTGTCCTGCCTGGGCCAGGGGACAGAGCCATGCACATGGACACCCAGTGCAGGTGTGGCTGTGATCTGAGCGGCGGGTGGGCTGGGACCGTGAGACACGCACCCCCAAGCTCCTCGGTCCCCGAAGATCTGGCTCCTGCCTCTTTCCTGTCTCTCTGGTCTGTTGCCCCCCCACCCCCAAAGGCCATGTCATGGAAAAGCTTGTCTTGGGGCGGGGACAGGAAGTTGCTGGGCGGAGGCCAGGCCCACAGTAGCGGGCAGATGAAGGCTGGTGGCTGGTCCAAGGGGTAGCCAGGCACTGGGGACAGAGGACCAAATCAAGGCCCAGAGGTCAGCGAGAGGGCCTTCTCGACACCCTGGTGAGTGCTTTGTCCCATGTGTCCAGGGCCCCATCCACGGGCTCCTTCATTCTGAGACTCTGGCCTGGGAGCCTGCCGCACCCCACGTGCCCCAGGAGCCCAGAGGCTGGAGGCGCCATTCCTCCTAGCGAGATCTTCCCAGATGAGGAGCCGGGCAGGGGCCAGGTCTCTCCTGAGGGTACCTCCCCCCAGGTCCAGTCAGGCCACCTGGTTCTCAGATGGCAGCCATAGCTGTGCCTGCAGGTGCCGACACTAGAGGTACTTAGATGGCAGCACGCACCACAGATGGACAACTTGCAGTGTGGGAGATGAAACTTCAGGCTGAAAGAACAGGCCCAGCTGCCCACAGTCTAGTAAGGCCATCCTCAGAGCAAAGGCAGTTGTGTCCCCCTTCAGTGGGGGGCCTAGGAAAATATCCTGGAGGCAGGAGCCTGAACCCCAAGGCCCTGCCTGGCTCTTCCCACCCACAAGAAGACTGGTGCTGCTGGAAGACCCAGGCTCTGGTCTCTCCTTTGGGGGGGAGCTGGTGTCTCCTGAGGCTAGGCCACAGATTGGGGAGATCTTGAACCTATTCCAACCAGGGCCCCAGGGGGTATTGGAAGTGGACCACCCTCCAAATAGCCCAAGGTCTTCGGGATGCCAGTGAGGGAGAAGCACCTCTTCTGACCCCTGGGAGCCTTAAGGGCCCTCTAAAGAGGGCCAAGATCCAGCTTCGAGTTCCAATTCCTTCAGGGGGACAAGCACCACAGAGCTGCTGTGGGCACAGGGACTCCGGCTGAACTCTGCAGGCAGCCCCCAGGGGTCTGATTTGGGGCTGGGAGCCACATGGGCCTGATCCTACCCTTCAGGCCCAGTGCAGACTGTGAGGGGTGAGTGGCATGCACCCTGGAGGAAGGGGAAATCAAGAGCAAGAGTCCTGCCAGGCATGGTGAGGCACGGCAGCACACAGGTGTAACCCAGCGACTCTGGAGGCTGAGGCAGGAGGATGGCAAGTTCAGGTCCAGCTTGAGCAACTTAGAATGACCCTATCTCAAAATAAAAAGTAAAATGGGCTGGGGGTGTAGCTCAGTGGTAAAACACCTTTGGGTTTAATCCGCAGTACCAAAAACATTAAAAAACAAAAACAAAAACAAAAAAAACAGCAATAGTCTGCTAGGCCTAAAGCAGCTTCAGAACCCAGTGGGGTGCAGGAGGACCCTGTATGCAGACCAGAGGTTCCTGTGGAGTACTCAGGGTGAGGGTCTCAGAGGAGAAGCTCGCTTGTCCTGGTTCTGCCTGCTGCCCTGGGCAATGCCTCCAGGACTGTCCAACCTGAGAATGGTGAGTGTCCAGGGTCAATCTCAGGTTCGTCAGCCCGTGAGGTGCTGCCCCTTCCCAGCAGCGGCTGACTATCACAGGGTGATGATGGGTACGRGAGACAGGTAAGCGAGAAACGAAAGATGGAGACCAGGCGGAGATACAGGAGACTTTGTCACAGCTGACAAATAAAGACCATCTCTCTATAGGAGAGAGGCAAAACAGGCTTGAGCTCTGGGACTTTCATGGGGAGGCTCAGGAATCAGAGCCAGTGGGGTCTTAATGCGGTGGGGGGGGCAGGCGTGAAAATGGTTGGGTTGGTATGAGGGAGCGGTGAGGCTTTCTCAGAAACGCCCTTAGGCGGAAAACGAAATTTAAAATGGTCATCCAGATGCCAAGCAAGGGCCTTTTAGGTACGCTGGCTGGGTGGGATGGGAAGCCTGGGGCACCTGAGGCCCAGTCCCAAAAGAAGGCACACGTGGCTGTCACATTGACAGGAAGAGTCATGCAGGCGTGAGCAGAGACGGAGGGCTGGGCTTGGCTGCGCTGGGGGAGGATGGTGCCCTACACGGGAAGGACTGGCAAAGAAGCCTGGAAGAGGGCATCTTGGGTGGAGCACCTGAGGGTTGGGGGGCCGCGGCAGGAAGCAGCGGAGGGGGCCCTGGGGGCCATGGTATTCCGAAGCTTCCTAAGGTCAGGCTGGAGGTTTTGGAGCGAGGGAAGCTGGTGTGGAGAGGCGGCGGCCGGACGGAGACCTATGGAGCAGATGGCTTTGGGTTAGCTGTGCCAGAGTTAGGAGAGGAACGGGCAGCTCGCATGTGGGTGCTGATATAGAGCGGGGTCCAGGGAGGGGCGGGTTGGCGAAGCCATGGTGACTACAGCGGTGACGTCCGCGGGGGCGACTGGCGGACCAAGCTCCCGGCTCGGGTACCTTGGGGCCTCTTCACCTCTGGTCACCAACCGGCTTCCATCTGGGGGCCAAGGCCCGTCGGGGCTCGAGGGCGAGGCTGGCACCGACTCGGACCTTCAGTATTCCCGCAGCAGGGGACCCCGCCTACTGAGCGCGGGACTCGGACTCGCGTTTGTAGGAACCTGCGCCCGCCGGCTTGGAAGTTGGTGGTGCCCCGAGCCACCGCCCGAGCGCGCCTCCGCAGCCCACAGCTGTAACCTGGGGCCACCGCCCGAGCGCGCCGCCGGGCCCGATTGCACCTGGGGTGACCGCGGGACGGTTCTGGCGAAYCTCCCCGCGCGCCCCTCTGGCCAGCAGGGCCGTCCGCGTCCTCCCAGGTCCTGCCCGGGATTCTGTCCGCTCCATCCCCGCGCAACTGGGTCCGGGGCGCGCGGCTCATTCGCGCACGGGCTGCGGAGGTGGAGCCCCGCCCGCCACGCCCCCCGCCCGCGGCCGGACTSGGCGCCAGCTCCTCACAGGTCGGGGCAGCCTAGGCGGGCACGGGCACGCGAAGGGCACGGCGATGTCTTCGGAGGCCTTCCGAGCTGTCGCTTTTGCTGCTGTCGCTGTGCTGCGGGTGTACCCAAGGCCTCGCCCAGCTCCATTTTTCCCCCTCCTTATGGAAGATCCTAATCAAATTACTTAATTCTAGGTGTGAGTGGAGGGTTCAGGGTGTTTCGTTACTGTTACTATTCTTGCACCTTTTTCCCTCCAAAAGGTTTTAGTTGGCTTCAAATAAACTGTTTTTCAGTTCCAAGCCTTGCCCTGTGGATGGGCGCCCCCCCGGAGACAGCAGGAGGGGAGTTTGGCCAAGGCTGTACCCTGCAGAAGGGATGTGAGCCACAGGGCAATTCTACCTGCAGTTCTGAAAGGCAGACCTGTGGGCCACCTGGGCCAGGGCCACGTCTCTAGCCTAAGCACTAGCGTCCTTGGGCCTGAGCCTAAGATTGGTCCCAGCAGGTGCTCTGCTCCAGGCCCCTGTATACAGAACCACCCTCTAGGGACATATGCTCTTGGGCAGACTTGGCACTTCCAACAGGATCCCCAAACTGGACTCATTCCGGGGGTGGGGGACAGAGGCATAAGAGCTCAGGCTAGCCACTCCAGGCTACAGGCCGCACTGTGTTCAAGAGGGCTTCCTGCTACTTGCCTGCCATCAGGGCAGCGGGATGAAGTGTATCTCACAGCACCCCAGGGACCTTGGCATTTGAGGGCTGGGTGAGAGACCACAGGGAGGATGGGGACTACGGCCAAAGATACTGGGGTGCAAGGCCGGGGCACCACCAGCTCAGACACTGCGGAGCAGGAACAGAGTCGCTACAGCTCAGCCCTGGGAAATCCAAATGGCCAGGACAGAGGTGGGCAGAGATGGAGTGACCAGCTCAGCTTTTGTGGTCATTGCTCCAGGGAATAGGAGGGCTGGCCCTACTGTAGAGCTGAGCTACCCAGTTGCCCTCTGTTCTCCCCCAATTCCTTATGCTTAGGATTGGAATCAGGCAGGGCCATGCCAAGTCAGGAGCTGGTTCATGAGGGCACCCACATATGCTGCTCCAGACCCCTGCACCTGCTCATCCTAGAACTGAGGCCAGCCAAAATGGTCACTACCAGGCAGCAGGAATCTCCGTCTGTGGAAGACAACAGGAAACGCAGGTAGGGGCTTGATGGTCAGACAGGTGGATGGTACGAACAGGACTAATGTTGGCTGCAGGCCTGGTGTGGCCACGAAGACCACAGGACTTCCCTGGCAAGGGGTCACCTACTCTGATACAAACCACTGGAGCTCAACATGCCACAGGAGGCCTCCAAGACTGAGGTCCAAGTTCCTGGGCTGGTGGCCCTCGGGAGCTCAGAGGTCCCTCCTGTGATTCGTCTTGGTATTTGAAAATCAAGTGAAAAGGACCCTGGGAAGGCGGGTGTGCACTTGGACCAGGCAGGTGGGAAGTGTTTGTCACAAATAAAACAAACCTGCCTCCCAAAACACAAAAACAAAAAACGAGACTCTGCAGGGATCATTAAACAAAAAACACACTTTCTGCAGTGAAAACATTTATTTTACAAGTTATCTTTACTTTAGGTCAACATTCAGACACACACAAGACAGAGATCACCAAGGAGACCACTCGCTCTCCAGCCCTGGAGATGTGCGTGGAGCCAGGTCAGCAGGCCATCCTGGCAGCTGGGTGGGACCAGCTCGTGGACTGCTGCTCTCCACACTCGCATCTGATTCTCAGAAGCAGCACCTGTGGTGTGCGTGTCCGTGTGTATTCCCCCTCCCTCACCCAGCTTCCCAGGCCAACCAGTCCGCCACAGGCACCACCTGGGGGGCCCTTGGCCCAGTCCTCCTGCAGGCAGGTGCCCAGGCTGCTCTTTAGATGCAACCTTGTCACTGACGGACTCAGGCGCCCAGGGAGGGGAGAGTTTCCAGCCACCTCCCACACTTCCCACACCTGTGGGCCAGGTGAACATGACGTGTGCTTAGGACAGTCACCCTTGTGCCCAACCCCGCTGATGCGGTCTTGACCTTGTGTTCAGGCACACGCATCCTGCACATAGCAGGCTGTTCCCTTGGGTGTATCCGCCAGGAGGACCGTGCCGAGACCCTGTCCCTACCCAACTCACCAAGAAAACAGAGGCCACTTTGGAGCCAACTTTATTGTACTTGTTGCTTCACCCCTGGACAGCAGCACGCGGGGCCTGCTGCGTGGTCCATACATACACACATGTACACAGACACACAGCCTGCACCACAGCACCTGGCAACACAAGCTGCACCTGTCCACAGCAGGGCATTCAGAACCCAAATAACAAACAGGCCAGTCCTGGGCTACAGGGCACCAGCTCAGCACTGGGAAAGGGGTGGCACCAGCGCCTGCCATGCTTCTCACCAGCTAGTCACCACACAGATGCACTGAAGTCAAGGATGGGCAGGACCCACCTTGCCTCTGCCCACATAACCTGGACCCTTGAGGGACAGCCCGCGGGGCCATCAGCTCCCCTGTGCTGCTAAAACCTGGGTTAGGACCGATGGGTTAGGACCGCTGAGACGAGTCTTGACTGCTTCATGATTCAGGACCTTTCCAGACTGGAGCTGCAGCCCAGTCCAGCAAGTAGCACAGAGACCGCGGGAACTCTGGCTTCTCTTCCTGACGGGTTCCCACTGGACACTGGCTGCATTAACTGAACACCAGAGAACTAGGAAGGCTCATTGACACGGGGCAACAATATCTAAAGCAGCTGAAAATAGAATGAAGCCAAAGGAAGACAAGGAAAGACCACAGCCCTGGGCAGGAACAGGGATCTACACACCCCAGAGCTACCATAGGTGGCCAGGACCCTGCGGGGCACCACTGCTCTGGATGGGTTTCCAAGCACACTGACCACAGCACTCCCCAGGCAATACATCACACACTGTCCACAGCCCAGAAGTGTAGCCCAGGAGCTGGGGACATGGGGGTCAGGCTGACCCCCAAGACTCACCAGCTGTGCTTATTAAAAAGGAAAYGGAACCAGGGCAGCCACAGACCATCGCAGTGCACGATGAGGCACTGTCTGCCTCGAGCAGGTGAGGGATATGCTTGGCCATGGCGGCAGAGCCACGGCCCTCACTCCAGAGTCTGTGTCCTGTTTGTGGTGTCACAAATCCTACATGATTCACTCAGTTTTAGAGACCCCCCACAGGACACTGGGCTAAGTGGCTATTCCCACCCCAGCTGCCACCCAGGGAGATCCTTTCTCCTAAGAAGTGGCCACAGCTCACAGGGACACAAGACAAAAACCACAGGGCTGCATGCCAGGAGGGCTGTCCCACAGCAYAGGAGTTTTCTCATTCTTCATCTCTACTAGAAATTCAGAAGATGCTCGGCAGGTCACCAGACTATGGCCCTGGGTTCTGAGAAAGCAACTCACTCTCGAATTATCGCAAGAAAGCTTTGGGGGCTGAGCTCTTGCTGCTGTGCTGGGACTAGCCCTGGGGCTGCCTGCTGAGTAGTCGGTGGGCCCACTGGTGGTTCCCACCCCCCACAGGGGGACGGCCCTCACACAGCACCCTAGTGTGGGGCCCTCTTGCTCAGTACCTTCATGATCGTTCAATGAGCAACACGGACAAACACGCCCCAGGGACTGGTTCCTGGGCAGTTCCTTGCCCACGTCCACCTGCAATAGGATCAGCTGGGGGCCCTGGCATCACAGCAGCCTCACTGGACCTTGCTGGGTACCCTCAACCAACACCAAAATCCCAAAGCCCTGCCCTTGGCAGTCCCTGGCAAACAGGAGCCCACGGTGGGAGGGAGTGGGGATGGGGGTGAAGGTGGTTTGTCAGGGCCACGTGGTCAGCGTAGGAGTTTTCTCATTCTTCATCTCTACTAGAAATTCAGAAGATGCTTGGCAGCAGGCTTCGGGAAAGTCCTGCAGGAACTCGGCCCACTGGACTCTGGTCCGGCACGTTCAGGAAATTGTAGGGGGCACCAGGTGGYCCCAAAGCCTTGACATGTGGTGCTCACATTTCCCCAGCTCACCCACCAAGGCGCCACCCACAGATCTCCGGTTCACAGTCTCGTCCAGCACTGGCCTCCCAGGCTGGCTGGCAAGCAGGGTGCCCCACAGTCTCGCTGGGACCCAGCCCTCCTGAGGAGAGGGGCATCTTGGCTCCAGCCATCTTGCTCCAGAAACCCTATGTTCTCGTGCCGACTGGAGCACGGGCGACAGGCGCAAGTGAAGGCAAGTGGGTGGATGGAGCTCTGGCCAGCACGAGGAACAGGGTCCAGAGGCTGGGGGCTCACTGGCGTCCTTCATCCACCCACTTGGATTCACACCCTCTGACTGCAACCACTTGTGATTCTTAAAAGTCCAAAAAGGGCTTAAAAACAAAACAAAACAAACAAACAAAAAACCAGGTGGGCTTAAGGAGTGTGGAGAACAACCCAGGGAAGGGGAGAGAGACTACGGCCCCATCAGTCCAGCTCAGCCTGGGAAGGTTCAGGAACAAAGACGGAGGACTTCCACGCACCGGGAGGGGCACCCCTCGATGGACAGGAACCTCAGACCCTGAAGCAAAGAGGCCCGGGGCAGACAACCGTGCAGAGTGCACACGTGTGCACACACTGTCCACATCACACCTACCACCTGGAGAGACCTGCCACGAGAGGACGACAGGGTGCAGAGGCCCTTGCACGCCATGCCAATGTAACACCCAGGGACAACCATGGCCCTGTGGTTCCAGAGGACCTGGCCCAGCTTGTCCCTGATGGGCCAGATGAGCCAGGCCCTGCCCTGGGACCCCTTGGCCAAGGTGGAGATGTGGCTTTGCCGGGCAGAATCTGACCCCAGCCCCATGAGCACAGGAGCACAGAGGCCCTTCCTGCCCAGTCCACCCTCACTGGACCGACCTGGCTAAACACCCCGAGGCAGCTCCACTGTCCAGCGAGCGCGGCCGAGCCACAGCAGGTCCACAACACAGACACTGAACACGACCATACATGCTACTAGAAAAGGAGAGCAGAAGACCGTAGCTACACTGCTTTAAATACTGCATGCTACGCACTTCGGGTATCGAGGGTCGACGGGCAGCGGGCGTGGAGGAGGGGAGGCCCCGACGCGGCGCCTCCCCATCTGGTGACTAGTTCATGGATCTAAGGTTGCGGTGGCCGGGTGCTGATCCCTCCTCGAATCACAGCTCCTCCTGAACTTAGTTGAACCCGTCAGTGTGGTAGCTAGGGTGGGAGTCGGCCGTGAGCTGGGTGGTCTCTGTGGCGGACGCGGGCTGTATGACGATTGGCGTGTCTGTGGCCTCTGAAAAGCAAGCAGACATGCTCATTGCACAAGGGTASTAGGCAGCATGTGCCCAGTACAGGGTCCTGGCGTCACAACACTCGGCCACCTGGACGACACTCAGGAGAGGCTGCTGGCTGACCACCACCCTTCATCCTCCCGCCTGCCTGCCGCCCACCTCCTGCCCCTTGGTTCTATGGCTACCACAGTGCACGGGCGGGGACAGCTCTCTGCCCCTGCTTTACCTCAGCGTCCACGTTCACACCTCAACAGTCCCAGCTGCCACCACAAACACTCGCGGCACAGTGTCAGTGCCCTCCTGTTTGACAAGACAGTTGACACGTTCAGGGCCACGTGACGGCGCCCCACGAACACGCACCCGGGGGCAGGCACTCACCCCTCTCATCAGACTGCAGCTGTGCCTCCAGGTCCTCTGGGGACACGTAGAAGGCCGTCTCCTCCCCCTCGGGGGCCTTGGGCTTGCACTTGCCACAGCAGCAGTTGAAGCAGCAGCACAGACAGCAGCAGCAGTAGCAGCAGGTGAGGAGGCCGCAGAAAACGAAGAGGGCCTGCGGAGGAAAGGCAGGCACCCATGGCCTCTGTGGGCCCCGGCCTCTGCGAGGGCTCCCGAGCACGGGCTGCAGAGGCAGGCCTCCAGCTAAGGATGAAGGAAGAACCTGCTGGGAAGGGGAGGCAGGAGGGAAGAGCAGACAGCTGCCTAGAGGGGGTGATTACGGGAGGGCTGGGAAAGCCAGGGAGGGCTTCCCACAGCCAAGGGCCATATCCCTTGGCCTTGTGTGAGGGGGCAAGTCAGGAAAGCAAGAAAGTTAATAAGAACACAATCTAAGTCGGGGGTCCTTCAAACTAGGTTTCAAGATGCCTTCCCTGACGCCTGTGAAGGGAAGGCTCACTTCCTACCTGGTCCTCTCAGGAACTTGGGCCCGTGCATGCAGCCAGTGCTGGCCCCGCCCTGGCCCTCACCTTGGCCCACCAGCTGGAGAGCACGAAGTAGGTGTTGACGTTCTCCTCCCCGAACTGCTCCGCCACGTAGAGCCCCAGCGAGCCGTACTTGTCGTAGATGTTCCTTTTCGTGGCGTCCGTCAGGATGGCATGTGCATTGTTGATCTCCTTGAACTTATCTGCGGCCTCCGGGTTGTCAGGGTTCTTATCAGGGTGGTACTTCAGGGCAAGCTTCCTGCAACAGAACCATTTGCTGGCTCTCTCCTGGACTGGCAGTGTGCATTGAGCCACTGGAGGGCCCAGGAGAAGGAAGGCCCACCCATCACCACCTGCCTTCCCGACTTCCCAGAGGTCTGGCATGCCAGGGGGAAGCCCCCCCCGACCTGGCTCCGCACAGGGAGGGGTCTAGAGGTAGCCAGGGCAGCAGGACCAGCCCCACTCCTCTCCCCACTTTCAGAATCACCAACGGTACCCTCCTGCCCCCTGGTGTCCTTGCTGGGCCACTGCACATGCCAATCTGACAGGAAGCAGAGTGCTGGGAGCATAGATGCAGCCACCCAGGCAGAGGTCAGTGATGAGGCCTCTCTGGTCTAGGTTGCCGCCTGCCGCAGCAGCCAAGCCAAGTGCCTGGAATAGCCAGAAGGCCAAGGCAGAAAACAGGGGTGCCAGCCTCGCTGCACAGCCCCACCCGCTCCAGAACTGTGTGCAGCTGTAGCATCCACAAAGTGCTGCTTTTTCGGCTAAGAGAACACCAGTATGCAGCACTGAGCTGTGAGGAGCACGATACACCTGCAGAGAGGCCACTACTGAGTCCTCCAGGGGAAAGGCTGTGCCAGCTCCTAGAAGAGCATGGTGACAGTACGTGAAGGGGCCTGTCCAGGGGAGGTGCAGGGCCCGGTGCAGCCTCTTACCGATAGGACTTTTTAATGTCATCTGAGGTGGCATTCTTGTCCAGCCCAAGAACATGGTAGAGTGACTCTCCGGAGGTAGAGAGTGAGCGCTGCCTCTGGTCTGCCATGTTAGGTCACTCTATGAGAGGAAGGAACAGCAAGGGTGCACTGAGGAACTTCAGAAGACCAAAGCAAAGCCACCTGGACACTCTGTTTACAGCCAGGCTCCCAGCCCTGTGGACGTGAAGGAGCATCCCACGCCTCCTGTGGTGCCACGACACTGCTGCCTCAGCAAGGGGAGAAGAGTCACGCTGTCACTATCGTCCCCCAGCTACGTAAAAACCCACAGAAGGGCCAGCGTGGTGGTGCACGCTGCTTACCCCACTCCTCGGGAGGCTGAGACCGGAGTTCCAGGCCAGCCATGGTGAGGGCCCCGAGGTAGAAAGTTTAAAGAAACATAAAATTCTTTTTTGAGGGATGTGGCATGGAGGGTAGGGCACTCAACCACTGAGCCACACCCCCAGCCCTATTTTGTATTTTATTTAGAGACAGGGTCTCACTGAGTTGCTTAGGGCCTTGCTTTTGCTGAGGCTGACTTTGAACTCAAGATCTTCCTGCCTCAGCCTCCCAAGCAGCTGGGATTACAGGTGTGCACTACTATGCCCAGCTAAGAAACATAAAATTCTTCTTCTTTTTCTTTTCTTTTATTTATTTATTTATATATATATATACATATATTTTTGGTGATGGGGATTAAACCCAGGGCCTTGTGCTTGCAAGACAAGCTTCTACCAACTAAACTATAACCCCAGCCTCAAGAAACATAAAATTCTTAAAAACATTCATATAACACAGATGCACCTAGGAAACAAACAGAAAAGCAATGTCAACCTAAACATACCAAAAATGAGATTCAGTGTCAGTGGACTAAAAGCCTAACACAGCGGCTTGGGAGGCTGAGGCGGGAGTATCACAAGTTCAAAGCCAGCTTTAGCAAAAGTGAAGCACTAAGCAACTCAGTGAGACCCTGTCTCTACATAAAATACAAAAAAGGGTTAGGGATGTGGCTCAGTGGTCGAGTGTCCCTGGTTTCAATCCCCAGTACCGCCCCCACAAAAAAGCCTAACACAGCAGGGTGGTCAGAGTGCATAAAATGCGAGACCATTAGGATTTTAACACCCCTCTCAGAAACTGACAGTTATTTTTATTTTTTATCCATTTGTTTTTGTAGTACTGGGGATTGAACGCTACTACTGAGCTACACTATACCCTAGGCCCTACTTTAAAAAAACTTTTTTTGTGGTACTAGGGATTGAACCCAGGGCCTTGTGCATGCCAAGACAAGCACTCTACCAACTGAGCTATATCCCCAGCCTGCCCCCCTTTTTAAATTTTCAGACAGGGTCTCACTAACCTACTGAGGCTGGCTTTGAAGTTGCTATTCTCCTGCCTCAGCTGCCCCAGTTCCTGGGATTGATTACAGGTGTGTGCACCATGCCCAGGTGACAGATTTGTCAAATCAGGAGTGACACTAGACAGTTCCATTATCTGTCACAACCTGAGGTCTGTGGAGCACCCAGCATGCTTCTTGCATGCACACTACTCATGCACCTAGAGATACTCCACACTGGGCCTTGAAACAAGCCTCAATCAGTCACACACAGCGTGACTCTTAATAATTAAACTAGAAACCCAAGAGTAAGAGAGCAAAGAAAACCTGAAATAGTTGCTGTTAAACAACACACTACAAAATAACATGGAATTCAAAGAAGAAATCACAGTAATTACGTGCTGGGGGTTGAACCCAGGGCTTTCATGTTAGGCTAGTGTTCCACCACTGAGCCACATCCAATAGGGCATGAGACTAACTCTGCCCTTGGTTCCTAAGTGCTCCGGCAGGTTACATACAAGTCCTTCAAGCTCACCTGGACTCACATTGACAAGCTGAGTTTTGCAAAGCCCCAGAGAACCGCAGGACAGGTAGCTGGGTGGAGAGGAACTGAGGTCAGCCAATGACCAGCGGCTGTGGCGTAACGTAACCCATCAATCAGACAGGCCTATGCCACAAGCACTCCACAGAAACAAGACAGCCATGAGTTCAGACCACAAACCCCCAGGGCACCAGGAGCTCTGAAGGTGACAGGATGCACATTCTTCAGCTCACTAGCAGGGACACACCTGTGCCAGGACCCCTGACCGCCCCATGCATGCCCCACCAGGCCGTTTGCACAGCCTGTATCCTTTAATGTATCCTTCGTAGTAAGGCAGATGAAGCAGAAGCAGATGTTTCCTTGAATTCTGTGAGCCACTCTGGAGATCAATCCTTGTGAGCAGCAGGTGGTGGGACTCCTGCTTTAGCACCAGCTGGTCAGAGCTGAGGAGGAGCAGACACAGCCAGGATACTGCTCTTCCCACTTCTGTCCAGCACTGTTCTAGAATTCCTAAATGCTGCAGTAAGAAATAAAAAGCATAAAGCCCAGGAGGTAAGACACAAACTGTGGCTATGTGCAGAGCAGCTGGGACTGACAAGGGAGCCAGGCAGAGACACGGGAGAAGAGTCTAACTTTCACCCCACACAGTTGAGCTTTGACAGCAGCAACCAATTAGAAGTTTATTAGATATGTCATTTACAGCAGCACCCAAAGTCACGAATTATTTACGATTAACAGAAGACGTACAAGCTAGTCAGACACAATGGCGCACACTGCAATTCCAGCAATTCAGGAGGCTGAGGAGAAGGATCCAAATTCAGGTTAGTCTGGGCAACTTAGTGAGACTCTGTCTCAAAATAAAAATTAAAAAAAAAAAAAAAAAAAAAAAAGGCTGAGAGTGTAGCTTAACAGTAGCGACCCCTGGGTACAATCGCCGGTATCTCTAAATAGGAGGCCTTGCTATTGTTAACGCGTCCTTCTCCTCAAGCAGGTCTACAGAGTGGACATAACCCAGCTCTAATCCCAGCAGACATTGTGTAGAAATTGATTAACTGATCTAAAAAGCACGTGGAAAGGCAGCAGACCTGGATCCCCACTGCAACACTGGCAGGAAGAGCACAGAGGCAGCAGTCCAAGGTGCGACTCGGCGGGACATGAAGGACTCTGCTCAACTCGGCTGCCACCACAGCAAGTCTGGGTTCGCAGGGCTTTTGTCTGTTTTATTTCGCGGTGCTGGAAAGCAAACCCAGAGCCACACAGGCTAAATAACTTCTGCCACTGAACTACGTCCCCAGCAAAACCCCCGTTTTTATTTATTTTTTTAAACATGGGAACAAGATTTGAATCCTTCTAAAAAGATACACAGATGGTTCATGGTACTTGAAAAGATCATCGGTCATTTGGAAATGAAAATAACGCTACAAGCTGCTGAAAGCCTTGTGTAACAGCAGGGCTGGTCCTGAGCACCGCGGACCCGAGGAGTCACCTGCACAGACCCGCACAGCAGAGCCCACCACTTGCTGGGGCCACGCAGACAGCTCCTGTCACCCAGGCTCTGTACTCGACAGTGGGCAATGCAAGGCAATGCCCGGCAGCATGCAAAACACAGGTGAGGCATGCGYCATAGGCAGAAGAGCTGGTCCTGTCTGGGGCACTGGAAGACAGCGTGCAGGACTGGAAGCAGCTCGGGTGAGGTGTGGGCGCCTCAGGACAGCACCACCACAAAGACCAGACACTGCGCTCAGACCACATTCAATCCTCAGAGGCTTTTTTGGGGGGGATGGCGGGGTGGGGGGGGGAAACCAGGGATTGAACTCAGGGGCACTCAACCACTGAGCCACACCCCTAGCCCTATATTGTATTTTATTTAGAGACAGGGTCTCACTGAGTTGCTTAGGGCCTTGTTTTTGCTGAGGCTGGCTTTGAACGAGATCCTCCTGCCTCAACCTCCCGAGCCTCTAGGATTACAGGTGTGGCCACTGTACCTAGCTCACAGAGGGTTTTTCTTCAATAATAAATCAGCCTTAGTACCCTTCTCTTCCTTTCTTTGCACACCTTAAGGTATTTAGATGGAACCTTGCTGTCTTGCCCAGGCTGGCCATGAACTCCAGATGCTCCTGCTGCACCCAGTCTCTAGAGTTGCTGGGAGTGAACCTACTACCCACCCTGTTGTAATTTAAAAATCTTTTTACTTGCTAGGCACAGCAGTGCAGGACTGTAATCCCAGTGACTTGGAAGGCTGAGAAAGGAGGATGCAAGTTTAAGTCCAGCCTCAGCAACTTAGGGAGACCTTGTCTCAAAATAAAAAATAAAAAGAATCAGGGATTTGGCTCAGGGTAGAGCACCCCAGGATCACAACTTTGATCCTCCTGCCTCAGTCTCCTGAGTAGCCAGGATTACAGATATGCATGGGCCACTGCGCCCAGTTATTTTTTTTGTTTGATTCCAAAAGCACATTTTTCTGGAGCTAGTCTATAAACACATTCTTTTTTTTTTTTTTTTTTTTCTTCGGCAGCGCACGCCTGTAATCCCAGAAGCTCAGGAGGCTAAGGCAAGAGGATTGAGAGTTTAAAGCCAGCCTCAGCGAGACCCTGTCTCTAAATAAAATACAAAATAGGGCTGGGGATGTGGCTCAGTGTTTGAATGCCCCTGAGTTCAATCCCTGGTACCCTGCCAAATAATAGTAGTAGTAGTAGTAGTAGTAGTAGTAGTAGTAGTAATAAACACATTTTTCTGTGTTTAATTTTTTACAATATTTTACTTTCTGAAGTTTTTTTGTTTTGTTTTGTATTTTGGGAATCCTCCTATCTCAGTGTCCCCAGTCACTGGGATCTCAGGTGTGCACCACCACAGCTAGCTTTTATTAAAAATTAAGATGTGGGCTGGGGCTCAGCAGTAGAATGCTCGCCTAGCAATGCTGGGTTTGATCCTCAGCACCACATAATAAATAAATAAACAAACAAACAAATAAATAAAGGTACTGGGTCCAACTACAACTTAAATACACACACACACACCCCAAAACCCAAACCTAAGACGTGAAGTGAACCGGGTGGTGGTGTACACCTATAATCCCAGGGACCAGGAAGGAGGAGGCGTGAGGATGGCAAATTCAAAGCCAGCCACAGCAACTGAGTGAGCCCCTGCCTCAAAATAAGAAATAAAAGGGGCTGGGGATGTGTCTTGGTGGTTAAGCACTCCGGGGTTT